CCAACTATATGTTGCTTTATCAAGAGCAACAACCCCAAAAGAATTACATATACTAATACACAATTCTATCAATAAATATCTAAATCACATTAAAAATGTAGTCTACAAAGAAATTGTACAAAATATTACACAAGAATATAGATCATAACATAGAAATATATATAATACCGAATTTTTTACAGTATTAAAACATCTCTGTCACTATAATTCACATACCGATACAATAAAGTAATTTATTCATATACTAAACATTTATTCATTACTTTTGACAATTAGGAAAAATGACTACACCTATTCGTGCATTAAGACCAAATAAAGTGTACATCACCATCATAGTAACAATCTCTAGATTATGAACAAACAACAACCTTACTACAAGACGTTTAATAAATCTTGACTGCATCTTAATTGACAAAGAGGTAACAACTTTTATAAATACTAAATTACAAACTATTTGATACAGTATTGAACATTGTAATACAACTAACTTTTTAATCTTTCCTATCTACAACATGAAGCAATACAAGGATCGATACGGACACGAGATTCAGATATCATTTCTCAAAAAAAAGAACAGGGTAAGATATATGATATTAGTAATTTCTTTGTTGCCTAAAATAAACCAACATATTAGTACATCAAAATTATTATTAATATATCAACATATCATCAAAAGTATCCAAGCAATTGAGAAGACAAACATCTAACACAAGGTCTAAACAAATATATTTACGACTCCAATTCCGAATCAAAGATAACAGAGCCATCTAGAAAACGACAAAAAATTAGGTAATATCACTATTTCTAAATTCTTTATTTTAATTTTCCTAATAATTATACTAATATATCAACATATTTATAACACTTTTTATTTATTGAATAACAGATGTTATTAAAGTCATCAAAAGTATCCAAGCAATTGAGAAGATAAACATCTAACACAAGGTCTAAACAAATGTCTTTACGACTCCAATTCCGAATCAAAGATGACAGAGCCATCTAGAAAACGACTAAAAATCAGGTAATATCACTATTTTTAAATTCTTTATTTTAATTTTCTTAATAATAATACTAATATTTTTTAAAAATTTTATTCTACAGCTACAGCTCTAAAGAACCATCAGAAAAAGAAAAGTAAAAAATGTAATATAATGTACAATTCTTTTTACTAGACCTTTAAACAAATATATATACATATGTACATATGTGTATAAATTATTTATAGTAGACCTTTAAACAAAAATATATATGTAAATGTATGTACATACAAATTAATACTGTAATGTAAAAATTCATGATTTCTTCTATAATATAATAATCTTTCCTGCAGCAATGTGTGGGCAAAAAAACTAGTTAGATTACTATAAGTTGAATTGTTTGTTTTTTAATATATCATTGCAATTTTTATATTTTTTTAATTATTTTAAAAATAAAAGTTTACTATTACAACTTTTAAAGCTTAATGATTATAAAAAAATGTAGATTTAACATTTTAAATATCATTAGCATTGGAGTAAAAATAAAAATAAGATACCATATTATATTTTTTATGTTAAATATATCATCAGTATTAGCATTTGCATTTGAGCTTGTTTAATAGTGATAAAATTTCTTGTAACTACTACTTATTACTTATTACTAGTTTACACACACACCACGTGCGTGAGTATTTATTATGTTATATTTTTTTAGACACATACATTTAGAAAAAAAAAATATTAACAACAAATAAAAATATTTAGGCAAGCACATATTTAAAATTATTTAAATGAGAACATATTAAGGGGTAAAGTTTTATAAGATACAATTAAAAAACACAATATTCAAAATGAACCAAAAAGTAAAAGGATTAAAATTCACGTTTCAAATTAAGTAAAGGTGTTTCAATAAGTCATAGTTATAAATATAAGATATTTTTTTATAAAAAGATAAATGAAATATTATGTATATTTATCTTATATTTCATCCATTACTATTTAAAATTTCATTCACACTTATTGAATGAAATTAAATTTTTTTTTTTACTGTTAAAGGCAATATGTAAGCAATAGTGGGGGGAAAATAAAAAATTAAAAAAAGTAATAGGTAAGGAAAAAAAAGAGAGAGAAAAAAATATAAAAAAATCTGAAAGTGAAAAAAGAGAAAGAAAAATAAATAGAAAAATTAAAAAAAGTGGAGGTCAATATGTAGGTTCTACAAGGCCAACATATGGCATTTTTCAGAAACTAATTCATTGACTCTTTTATGTATGTATAGATTTTTTTTTTTGTTACAAACATGTTTTGTAACTAATTTTAACAATCAACCACAGAAAGTAAATTGTTGTAGCTAATTTTTATATTTTATTTACTAAAATTCTAATTCTCATTATTTAGTGTCTTAGCTGCTAAATATAATTTGTAACTAATAATTAATATTTAGATATAAATTTTATTTTGCCACAAAAACTTATTATTAGCTACAAATTTATATTTGTAGCTGAAAATTTTGTAGTTAAAGTTACAATTTCGTGTAGTGTTTTTAGAATAAGGGGATGTTTGGTTGGAGGATTCAAATCATAATTTGAATCATAGTTCATGATTTGTTATAGTATTTTCTCTCACAAAAAATACACGTAAATAAAAAATGATTCGAATCACATGATTCTAATCCATAAACCAAACGTCTCCTAAAAGAGAAACTCCTATTAAAAAGAAAAACTTGATTGTCATTTTACCTTTTATGAGCTGGCCAATCGATAAAAAATCAATGGTAAAAAATGATCTTCTCCATGCAAATACTAATAGAGAGTAACACACTTGATTAACAAAATAAAAGGCCGTGTTTAGAATTGATTCCGTTTTTATTTTTCACGTTTTTTGAGAAAAAAATAAAACCGTTTTTAAAACGATGTTTGGCGCAATAAAGATAAAAAACAGAAATGAAAACGATTTTTAGTTTAGTGTAAAATGAGAGAGAAATAAAAAATGACTTTTAGTTGTTTTTCATTTTTTTATTTTTGTTTCTCCTCTCTCGAACATAGAGAAAGAGAGAGACATTAATGAGTTTTTTATACTGAAAATAATTTCATGATAAAATTACTAAATACATTTTCAAAAATGATTTTCATCTAAAATTAAAGACGTTTTCATTTTCATTTTCATACAAAGAATAAAATCATTTTGGAACGAGTTTCAAACGCACTCAAAAGTTCAGAAAAATAACAAAACAAAAAGGGAAAAAAAAACTTCTTCTTCCACACAAACTTCACCACCGTCGCCCCCTCCGCCGCCGACTACAAAGCGTCCCCTGTTGAAACTCCCTCATCCAATGCCAAATCAAACTTCACCACACCCGCCCTAGTGCCGTCGTCCCCTTCTCGCTGACCACAAAGCGATTTGTCCCCTAATGAACCTCCGTCAGCCAATGCCAAATCGCCAGTGTCTCTTTATTCTCCGACGCCGACGACCTTTGTGAAGAACACCATGAGCAGATATCCTCTGCACTCCATCGATCTACTCCCACTCTCTCTCTTTCTCTCTCTCCCTGTATATTCGTGATGAACGCCTGCGAAGCTCCCTCGATGAACATACCAGGTTCGCGGCCTCAGGATGAGGAGATCTCAGTCTCCCTTCTCTCCCCGTCGATCTACTCCCTCTCTCTCAGATCGGGCAAATGCCAGCCGGGCTCCCTCGTGAACTCTGTCGACGAAGCTCTGGTCTCGCGCGAGCTATGCCAGCCTCCTTGAACCCAACCTCCCCTCTCCAAGGCGGCGCGAATCCCGCTGGCAAGGGCCCTTCATCCGCGACGGTGGTGAGCGACGTGGGAGGCTAGCCGGCAGCGTGGTTAATTCGTTCTCTATGTGTTTTTTGATCAAATGTTGAAAAATCAAGTGTGTGAGGTTTAATTTTAGTTTAATATTTCTCCATCGTTTTTTTACCGCTTGATAAAATAGTTTAGAATTGTCTTCTACAAGTACACCCCTACCGTAGAATCTTCCATATAAATTTTACCTTTTTCATATAAGTGTTGCATACAATTATCAATATGGTCTCCTATATTGTTTGTTAATAATATAAATGTCCAAGTTTTAATTTCAAATTTATACTTTTAAATTAGCGAAATAGTTTAGGGGACTGAAGATTGTAAAGGGGGCTAATTTCGCACGAGTCAATGTGTGAAAACATCCTCTCGGCGTTTCACGGAGGATTTTGTTTTTTTAACTTTTTTTTTTTTTTTTAAACAAACTGCAGTAAAACTGTATGAAACATTTCACAAAATTTTTCTTTGGTTTTTATTCTTTTTTTTTGGCATTTTAATGAAATTGTAATATTCATCTTTTTTGTTGTCTTATGTTTTGTTTATTTATTTTTTTCATTTTTCTCTTTGTTTATTTATTTTTTCTTTCTTCTCTCTTCTTAATAATTTGTCCATTGTCATGTGCACTAAGCGCACTTTGACTAGTTTCTTCTTCTTTTTTTTTTAAAAAAAAAAAAAAACCCATATTGTTCACATAACAATATAACAAAAAATTAGCCAGTTCAAGTAAATTGTCGAGACATCATGAATGCACGTAATTTCTGAAACTTGATGTTTGCTTAGAATAAAAGTTCTCGCACTTGTGAGAGTTATAAATATTTCTATATATGTGCCTTCACAAAATTTTCATGTCAGATATAGCTAATTTTCACATAAATATTTTAATTAACGTGTCACAATATTATTAGAAAGATATGAAATAAGATAAAAATAACAGAACACAAGAGTTGATTCTTAATTCTAGATGCATTATGAAGTTAATATAATAATCTTGCTAGTTATTTGGTATTTGCAATTCACAAAAGGTTAGGCCATAAAACATTCAATGGCAAACGATATATTTTTAAATAAAAAAACTGAGAGAGAAAGAAATAAACATTTACAGGAACATGTAACTAAATAAATGAACGGAATCAAAGTTTAGTGATTAAACTGTTTACTCAATAACGAAATCAAAGTTTAGTGATCAAACTGTTTACTCCTTAATTAATTAGGCCATGAGAATTATTTGGCTGAGTATGGACTGAAACCAGACTCGGCACATAATCATGAGCTACGCAATCAAGTTTGTAAAACCATTTTTCACTCTTATAATCATTTTCCTCAAATACTTTCCGATCACTTCCCTTGATGGGATCACACAACCAAATTTGCAGAACTTTCGGCTCAACAAAATCCTTTTCGAAAAGAAGTTGATCCATCCAAACTCCACAGAAGTTTAAGTACCCCAAAGAGCCACTGATTATGAACAGCTTAGTCCAAGAGAAATTCAGGCTGCTCATCCGCCAAAAATAGTGGTCGCTGCCAATGTGCTTGGGCGTGGTCAGCGCTGCCAATATCGAATCTTTCCACTTACAAAGAGCAAGGCGGTAGTCACTAGCAACATCACCAAAATCAGCAGGCAGTTGTTCTATTGTCTGAAACTCCTCGTCGCGCAAATTGAAAGACCAAATGCAACTTTCACGTTGCGGCGTTAACCCCGTCCAATACAAGACTCCGTTCACCAAAACCGTTCTATTTTCGTTCCAAATCCACCCCTTTACGGGTTTCAAACTTCTCCAACAGTTGCTTCCTCTAGTGAATACATGGGGGTGTAGAAGTATTTGATCAACATTATAGTTATAAATATTAGTTGACAAACTTTTCATGATTCTAACCAACTTGTAATCCTTGCTATTTTTATCGAATCCGAACCCTAAAGGACCACTTGCAGAGAAGACGTCTGTTGGAAAGGTTACATCCGGAATGTCCCTGAATTCTCTGGTTGCTGGATTCCACAAGATTATTTTTGTGCCATTGACCATATGAAAAGTACTAAGGCATACCAAGCCATTACAAGATCCAACGATATTGTTAATATTTGATGATAAGTATGATTTCTCTAGATAAGTCTGATCAAATATTGCGTCCTTTGATTCGTAATTGAGAACCAAAAACTTTCCCAACTCGTACTTCCACACGGGATCATGTTTTCTTTCAATAATGGAGAAAAATTTGGTGTTCTTGGATTGATGATATTGGAGGTGGGCTGCGATGAACTTGGGGTCATTGGTGATGAGAGAAAACCATTTTTTCGAGACGCACTTAAACCTCATGAGAGATTTCACTGGCAATTTTGGAAGAATTTCTGTGATCACCATATCTTCCGGAAGATTACTGTCTCTCATCATGGTTGTTGAGCTTTCTTGGCTTCCCAGTGTTTGCGGACGAGATTATGTCACTGACTATAGACGACAACAAGTATACTTGACAGGGATTGGCTAGGCTTTGGATTAATGGAGATGTTTATATATACATACACATTATATAAGGGTTTAATCGATTATAAATAGGAAGGGAAATTAGAATTGTAGACGATTTCGAGTTCTAATTAGTGTAGTTATGTCCTTTCCGGCCGAAAAAAAAAGGTGTATTTATCTTCTTTTAAATTTCTTTATGAGTTATCTCTCATTTTTTTTTGTTTTGAAATTAGTTATCTCTTTTTTGGATATTTTATATAAAAAAAGTAAAACTGATACATTTAACTTTTTTATTACACTAAAAAATTATCACATAAAATCACATATCAATTCGAATTAAAAACTCGAATCATCAAACTAAACGGGCCCTAAGTATTTATTAATTATTTGATTGATTGAGTCTTCCCCTTAAGCATTATGATCATGGTAAGGAAATCATAGTAAAAACTTAGAATTCTAATGTTTTGTACATGTACTTTTTTTTCTTAATCTTTTTCCTATTCCGATTCAAAAAAAAAAAAAAAGATAAAATACAACACATAATATCTTTTTTTTAAGAATAAAATTCTTTTCCGTAGCTTATTCTCTATTCGCCAGACTCCATCCAATTCACCAAAAGAAAGGAAAACAAAAAACAAAAAATAAACCCTATTAACAAAAAATACTCGATTATCGTTTTACCTCCTTTTTTTTCCACTAAATATCCTTATTTCCCGCCATATCTTCAACAAAAAGAGAACCAATTTCCCGCCCCCGCCAAATCCAAACGACGCCGTATTATTTCCCGCAAATCAACGCAATCCTAGGCACCAAAACGACGCCGTCAGTCTCCTGCCCAAACACAGAGTTCCAAAAATACCCCTCAATTAACCAATGCAGAGAACTCTTACGAACGGTGTAGTTTTTCCCCAACTTGATGTCTCTTTCCGTCCATACGTAAAAAATCGTTTCAACAAAACGGCAATTGCCCCCCTCTCATCCAGATCTTCTAGAGCCCTCGAAATCAAATGTTTTTCTTCCTCTTCAGTCTCGCCCCCCCGCCCCCCGCC